CATTCCAAAATATTGTGTCTTCCCGTCTGATTTATAAGAACCTGAAAATTATTTAAAGCAATAAAATAATTTTGCCTGTTGTTTGGTATGGGTGCGAAACATGGTCACTCACTCGCAGGGATTGCAGGTGTTTGAGAATACGGGGTTGAGGACATATTTGGGCCTAAGAGAGAAGACGATGAGGCATGGAGAAAACTGCATAATGATGAGCTTAAAAATCTGTACTGCTCCCCCAATATTGTCAGGGTGATTAAGTAGAGAAGAAAGAGATGGGCGGAGCATGTAGCGCGCATGGATGGGACAAGAGGTGTGCACAGGGTATTGGATGGGAAGTCTGAGGGGAAGAGACCGCTGGGGAGACCTAGACGTAGATGGGAGAATAATCTCATGCGGGATCTATGGGAGATAGGAGTTGAAGGAGACTAGAATTTGTTGGCCTAGGACAAGGTCCGGTGGAAGGCTTTGGTTAATTCGGTGATAAACCTTCCGATTCCGTAAGTAATATAGTTAGATAATTAGTTACATTAAATTGTATTCGAACGCTAGTAATAGGTATGGGACTGTTAACTGCTGAGTTTTCCTTTAGCCCCGGCTGTGGAATAACGGAGAAATCACGGTCGAACTGGTAGGCGGTCTGTTCCCTCACTAATTTGCGAAATATTCTCCGCCATCTATGAACCGTGGGAGTAAAGAGATATGCTACGCGTCGCATTCAATCGCTGAGAATTAGATGGGCGCGTCATGTAGCTCTCATAAGGGTAATGAGAAGTGCGAACAAATTATTGGATGCTAAGCCTGAAGGACGGAGACCATTATAAAGACTAACCGTAGATTGATATCAAATTGGATCTTTGGGAAATGGGGTTTGGAGTTGTGGATCTGATTTGTGTGATTCATGGTAGGCGCTAAAGAAGAGTTATTGTGAACAGGGTAATTGACTTTCTGCTTTCATAATAGGCGGAGGATGTCATGCCTAGTTGACCGTACTGTTAGGTTCTAAATACATAAAACATGTTGTCTTGTTATTAGCCTCACAAAGAAAAATATTGTAGAAATATTTCACTGACGTATCGACCAAAGGATTGAAAATTTGCAAGTCATCAAGCTAAGGAAGCGATATAGCCTCTTCTTAAGCCTTTACCTGCAGTAACCGAGGCAATGAAATGTGTGAGGTGCAAAGTGCCAAGAAGAATGTAATTATTGAAAATAAACTTTTACTGTGACATAAGTACTACACACCGGTGCCATCTAGCAGAGACAATTTTAACTGCCTGTACCAACTTGGCACACGATTAATTCGATATGTTATTAAATATTGGCATGTATCACCCACGTAAATAAAAATACAAAGGGAAAAAGGACACTTTGTACCTTCAATATTTCAGCATATTTGAGTATGGATACAGACAACCTCAGGCAGGACATCCAAAGTTCCGAACCGGACACAAATCCGTCGCTCGACAGAAAAAGCCGCAAGAAAAATAGAAACAGTAGACGGAAAGTGTAATAAATAGGACAGAGAGAAGTGAAAGGGAAAATAGCAGGACAACAAAACAAGAAGCAAAAGAAAATTCAGGAGCTAGAAGAGAATAAACGTATCTTACAAGAAACAATGAAATGAGTAGAACAGGAAAAGGAGATACAGACAAAAAAGAATAAGAATAAAAGGGAAGTGGACACAGCTGACAAACAAGGACAGGAGGATGAGGCATCGATAGAGACGCGAGGTATGGCAGTTGCATGTACTCACTGAGCTCATCGCTGTCGTTGAAGAAATTGGAGATGTACAACTTCATGTCTCCCACCTCCGGATACACGGTCACATGTCGCACCTTTAGGTACTGCTCGCCGTCAATGGTGACCAGATCACCGCGAACCCCACATGTGGCGGTCACATCACCTGAAAACCATCATAATCGATATATTTTAGTGTCGGTGCCCGGCCAATAACGTGGTCACCGTAGGTTATAATACCAAAGAAACAAGGTATGAAGATGTGGACTGGATTTGTTGGCTCAGAACAGGAGCCAGTAGAGGCCTTTTATGACGGCTATAATGAACCTTTGAATTTCATTAAATGCAGGGGATTTCTTGACAAACTAAGCTTCTAAAGGAGGAGTTATGTAGTTCTTAGCTAGTTGTAAGCTAAAGTTAAAGTGACAGAACTCTCCATATTGCATCGCACAACGTTAAAATAAACAACTAGTTACTCCAGGTCCTAGACCCCTAACTTCTGACTCTAACGGCATCCTTACTCATGCTTATGTTGTACACGCCCTTGCCACCAAAGGTGAAGCCGACGATCTTGCCCTGGGCCTTGTATTCCCCCTCGGCGAGCGCAGTGGGCAAACGGTAATCGATATCGAAGACCAGGTTTGACGAATCGCTCAGGTTTGCCCTGCAGAAGATAAGTTAAATGTTGTCTATTATAAGATTCTGTGATTATCACAAGAATAATCATAATGAATTTAATGAATATTAATTCATATGGTCACCGAATATTTTATAGGAGTTAGCCTATATAGAACGGGAGAGTCCTCTACTTGTTTTAAACAGCTTCTATGTATAAGACTTGAGGCCTTCGCGGCTCGGAATTTGGCCATAAAATTGATTTTGGGAAACCACCATACTAGCTAAGAGCACAGGATATCTGGACAGACTAGTAAATGTGGCCATTGAAATTACACTGCACCCCGATAATTTTAACAGAGACGGTGGATTCATGCTGAATTAGGTATGGAAACCCCTCATTAGTTTACTTGGTGACCAGTACGATTCAACATCGCTTTTCCTGATAGCAGGACGGAGAGGACTGAAGTGAGGTTAAGCGACATGAAGGAAGAACATAGTACTGAAGAGTGGCCGCCATTAGGAAGACGTGACGTGGAGACGGGTTAATGAAAAAGAGTGGAGGGATACTGTCATTCAAGATGACAGCAGCTGATTGCCCGGACCTAGATAAAATGATTTGATCCCTTTGTTCCAGGTGCTGCGTTTCCGTACAAATGATACTAGATTGAGTGCGTCCGTATTCCCTACTGGCCAAAGGCCGTACATGAAAGGGCACTATTTTCGGTAGATATAAACAGCAATCTAGAGGCCCGCTTTCTGGAATGTCGATGGTGTTTGCGGCAAAAAACTGGAGCTGGAACAGTTCCTCGGTGGACACAGAGTCGATGTTTGCCTCCTGAATAAGACGCACCTAGCATCGGGTCGGGCCCTAAGGTTCGCGAACTATGTTTACCACCGGACGGACAGCCCGACGCCGGGGGAGGCACAGCGATCCTTGTCCGCAGGGGCACAGATCATTATCTTGTGCCATTCTCGGGTCTACAGCACCTGGAGGCCACCCGCCATTTCGCCTAGTGATGGCGACCAGTACAGTGAAGCTCGCGGCGGCATACGTCTCGCCCACGCGGCCCTGGACCGAGTCGGACCTGACCGAGTGTTTGAGCAGGGGGATCACAGTCTTGGTAACCTCAACGCGAAGCACAAGGACTGTAATTCTAATCTGATCTTTGAAGGGGTTCGCTCCTGCGGGATTACGCTAACAGAAACTCTTTCTTGATCTACGGGCCGGACTCTCCATCGACGGCTCATTACACACACAACGGACCACCCGATGTCCTTCAGATTGTAGTCGTCAAGGACTTCGTCCAACCGGTGTATCTGACTCTCCGTTCCGCACTCAGCCCAGATCACCTGCCTGTCTTCATCAACATTACGTGCCGATAATTCTTTCAGAATCTACTTGACCGCCCCGACTTCACGCAAATTGACTAGGGTGTATTCCAAGCTTGCCTCGAAAGCAGATTCCCAAGGAATCCCGTGGTAAACGACGAGTAGGAAATCGACGAGTACGTCGAGGAGCTGACCAGCGCCATCCATGGGGCCACAGCGGCATCTGCTCTCAAGCATCGACCCCTTGTGCACCTGGGGCCTCCTCTGCTCGCTAGTATACATAATGAAATGCGCCTGAAGAACCGGCTGAGAAGACAGTGTCAGGTCACGAGGGACCCCGCTCTGAAAGCTCGGGTTAACCGCCCCCAGAGGTTGGTGACATATCGACTCAACGAGTGGAGGAACGAACAGTGGAGCGATACGCTGGAATCTTTAGACAGCGAGGACCAGTCGCTATGGAAGATGACAAAGCGGATGATGCGAGTCCTTACTCCTTCGCCCCCCTTGCTGGCTCTCTCGGACTCCGAGAAAGCGGAAGCCCTGGCCGGCAACCTTGAGGTCCAGTTTCAACCGGTGGGCGACTCGTCGGACCCGGCTGTTATTGACATGTTTAACGACGCCCAGGAGGTACAGTATCTAACCTGAAGTCCAAAATTTCAATGTCCTTCAATCCGTAGAAGTTGGTGTTCTTGACAACCATATTCCCCACCGCGTCGCCTCGTTTGTAATTCAGCAGCACCTCGGGAGCAAACAGGGGGTCTAAAGGGGGCACACCCAGTGCAGGCACTCCTGTAAACAGGGAATGCAAGCCGCTTTCACAAATATCGCAGATATTAATCACAATGCTTGCGAAACAAATGTTTTGTGTTATTACACTTACCAGCACTGAACTTAACCAAAGCCCTCTGTATGTTGCGCGTAGCACAGCCCTCGAAGTCAGGACTATTACGAGGGCAGGGCTCGAAAATATCCGCTGTAACAGATGAACAACATTTCCACAGAGGAACAACTACAATATTGACAATAGTATTAAAATATATTAAAATTGTCCGTCAACAAAACATATGCCTTAATGATAATAACATTTTGCTTAACAACCCCATTTTTAATGCACTCCAGTACCTTGACCCCAACCCTGACAAACCGCCTTTCACCCAATAACACCGCAGTCAATAACCAACCTCGCTCCGATACGATGTACTTCTGATCTCTCCTCTTACAACTTCGATATTACTTCTCTGGTAAGTTTATACATTTACTTTCATTTATTTATTTTGTTTTCTATATTCAATTTCATTAATGGTTTTGAATCCTTTAATTCACAGACCAATATACGCAGCATTAACATCACTCCGACAATACGATTGTATCAATGATATATAACACAACAACAAATGTTGATACAATGTGAAAAACGAAGAAATGATAAGAAAATTAAAAATTAGTAATTGAATTAAGAGTTTATAACATACACCTGATGACGGCTCTATGAAAGCCGAAACATGTCGAGAATGTTCCATATGTAAATCGAGTACTCGATACGGAACAAAGGATAATATTTTAACCATTTAATTATCTTATATTACTTTATTGTGATTGACGGACAATTTTAATATATTTTAATACTATTTTTAAATGAAATCACAATATGACGCACCTACAATATCTTACAATATTGACAGAAACTTACTCATGTATAAGCCTTTTTAGGGCATATCCCTGTTTTATAATAAAATATGTGGCTATTATCAGAAATGCATACACAGTTTTAATAGAGAAGCCTAAAGACATAACGTAGCTTGGCTTAGATAGGAGATTACATTAAAATGGATCTTTAAAAGCATGATGTGAGGATGTGGCTCATGGTATGCGGGATTTTGTGAGCACGGTAATATTTAAGATTTGGGGTTTTCACAGCGGTGAGTATGAATATTTTTGTATTCTGGGTTGTTGCGCTGTGTAGTCTAGTCAATGTTTACCAAAGTTTCAGACGTCATACTGTGTCCGTCATCAGGGCGATGAATATTCAGCGCAACAACCCAGAAGATAGAAATCTTCACGGTAATATTTTTTAGGGTTCCATAAATAGTGGATGACTTATTTATTGCTTGAGAGATTATTAGCTTCTGAAGAAGAGTCTACTCCAAGCTGTGAGTTGAAGGTGTTGTAACATGCCCATGTGTGTTTTTGTGCACTTAGAGGACACTCCTTTTTGCCATCAGCAGTACCAACATGGCAGTGGTTTTTCAAGCTTGTTAGTGATAGGAGCGCCACTTAATAACAGGTTCTGAAATTTTTGTCTTACATAACACTTGTCTTACGGAATGTTGCATCGTGTGGTCTGGAAAAATTTACCGATGTTTCAGGGGCAATTACTGCTTCTATTAGCAGAGTGATCCTACAGTTGCATTAAGCATGATTAAAACGTTGGAAAATTTCTGCTAGACTACACAGCGTAACATTCTGGAAGGCAGTCATCTTCATACTCGCCGCCATCACAATCTCATCTTATATCATAACAGCACATATACACATCTACAGATTATATATGAACCAATGTCATATGTTATTAGTCAAAAATATGGCGACGGTTCGAAGTCTGGTGTTATAACGGGCGCTTAGTCTGAGTTTGTTCACTAAATTGTACGTACAATTACGTATTTATAGTTATTGTTCGTCTCCCCATGCAGAATGAAGCACGCGGCTGTAACTGCTTCGAGAATTTTTTTTATGAAAGAACTGAATACCCCTACTTAGACTTTTGGTAATTTGTAGGTTTCCATGTTATTATCATCATCGTCGTCGTCTTCAAGGACTGGTTCCAAGGGATCCATTCCTACTCAATTTAAATTGGTAGTTGGTCTGTCCATTGTTTCTTCGGTCGTCCTACTTGCCTTTTGCCTTCCAGTGTATACTGTAGAACAGCCTTTGGTAGTCTGTTAGCACCCATACTCAGAACATGTTGTGTACATTTTAGTCTATGCTGTTATATTCGTTCATATCATTCTTTATCAAAAGTTTTTTCATTATCTATTCACTTTTTGTCTAGTAAGTCATAGTCTCCTACTGCTCTCAAAACTTCCATTTCAGTCGTTTGAAGTTTTTGAAAATCTGCTCTTTTCATGGTCAAAGATTCTGATTCATACAAGAGTGCTGGGATCGCCATAAACTTGTATTATTTTATTTTGTTATCTTTTATTGTTTAATGTTCGTCTGATAGTACCGCAGAGACATTGAAATAGTGATACTTTTTATTTTATATCTTAGTCTGACATGTAGCTACGAGTGTATCCTAGGTATGTGAATTTTGAGACTTGCTCTATTGGTATGCTTTCATGTGCTCGTATATGATCCGTACCACAAAAAGCCATTACCTTAGTTTTGTCAGTTGATATTTTCATATTAAAATTAATAACAATTATTTATATTTTATGCGCCAAAATTTCTAAATCATTTTATGCGTTTGCCGTTAGGAGCTGATCATCTGCAAAAAGGATTGTCCGTAGTATGTAATCGGGATTCAAAATGATGCCGGCATTATTTATTTATTTTATCGAGTTTCATTTCATGGTGCCTATATATACATATATATTGAAGAGAGTGGAAGACAGGCTACAGCTTTGCTTTAATTCTTGGTTAGTAATTTCTTTCCTATTTGTATTTTTTTCCTTCAATGTGTAGGAAGAATTTGCTGTTATCATATAGTACATTTACGTTATTTATTAAGTGTTATTGATATCCCTTGCTGTGTTAAATTGCCAAAAGTTTGAATATTGCTGTCTTCAGACGCACCTCTGTCAAAATCTGAAATCCTGCCCAAAGTTTATTTATATCCATTCTGTCAAAAGCATTTTCGTTTTCATTTTATTGGAGATTATTTTAACCATACCATATCTGTCTTGTTCATAAAGACAAAATTATTTTTCTTCATCCTACATATTTCGAACCCAGTTAACTTGCTGTGTATTACTTTCACACGTATTCAGTCACAGGCATCAATATTATAAACAAAATTTTCCGATTTTCTTAAAAATTAATGTGAAGATCATGCATGAAAAACGGTGAACTTGAGTGTGCATACACCTGGATCTGGTCAAGGTTAGTGCTTAGCTGATTGCATTCCGGAAGTCGTCTCGAGTCATTTCAGTCCAATCCACATCCTCAGATCGTTCAAAATTAGACTAATTTCAGTATTCTATCATCTACTCCAAGTGATCTCTTTCTTTCAGATTTCCTGATAAGAATTCTGTATAGTACGAGGTGCGATCGGAAAGTTTCCAGACTGCGCCTATAAAAAAAA